CAGCGCTCTACTGTGCGAGAGTAGTGTCGAGAGTGAATGTACGCGCGGAGAGCACAGACGGCTCGCGCATGGCGAGAGTGAATGTCCGCGCGGGAGAACGTGACTGAACAGGCGAAAATCCTCGACGTGCCGTCGACGAATCCTCGACCAATTTCACCTGATGGGGGAAGCATAGTTGTTCCGAACTTGCTACATCATATTTTTGTCAGAAGTTTTCACTATCACACGGATGAAGTGATATGCTCTGGTTTTTTTAGCTGCCCAGTGAGTCGGCGCACAACACAATTTGCCGCTGTCGCAACAGATACGACAAAACCGGTCTAATGAGCTGGGATTACATGTGTTGGAAATACTACCCAAGGCTACGAAAGGAGCGAGATGCGGAAGGCAAGCCAAAAGAAGTGAGCTATTTGTGGTTATTCGATTTATGCTCTATTGCTGACGTTTCTGTCAATCTCCCACGGCAAAAATTTCCTCTCAATAGGCTCGGTCTTTGCACTTACCGCTGTCTACCTTTAGGGTCAACCAGTGACAGTCGAACGAGTTGGCATCTCCAAAATTGATAGCAAAGGAGTATTCTGACGTGAGTTCTTTCGAACTTCTCTTGAAACTGAACCCTCGAAGTATGTCAACATTTGGGAGGAGGCTATCGAAAGGATTTCAAATCGGTGCATCAAGAGATTCCCATTATGGTCAGACGCTGCTTAGCTGGTTAATTCGGCTTACTGTAACATTTTCACATCGAATAATAAGTGCAATGTCCTCCACTTTCCGACCTAAAGTTGAAAAATTGTTCAAGTAGATTATTGCTTTGCTCCCCCTAGAGTTGCAGAGGTATGACACTTTTCATGGTTTCCGTGGGAAATATATTGGAAGGAAATGAATAGAAAAAACAGATTGGATTATTGGAAACTTTGTTGAGCATATTTTCATAACTCACGAAACATGGGCCGTATTCAATCCTTCCCCCAGGGGAATGCGTCCCCTTCCTCTGATTCAACCCTTAAAGGATAAAAGGATAAAGCATTTGCCGTTGATCAATCCCTTTTTGGGATGCGGCACGCATTCTACTTCCATTTGTACATTCGTAGTGGCGTTTGAATGCGATGTGGCCTATACAATGACTTGCGGGGGCCAGCCGATGTACAAGACCGCTCCCATGGTAAGCGTGCTAGTTGCCACTACACCACTTCCGCCCGTGATTCAATCCTCGGGGGAGACAAAAAAGGGTTGCGTCATAGGACCTCCATACCTCTGTGTTTCTACCTGCCAGACAGTTAGAGCAGCGCGACCCCTCAGGGAAAAGAGTGCTTCATCAGTGGAGGGTAGTAGCGCTGCTCTAACTGTCTGGCAGGTAGAAACACAGAGGTATGCGGTCCTATGACGCAACCCTTTTTTGTCCCCCCAGAGGATTGAATCAGAGGAGGGGGATATATCCCCCTGGGGGAAGGATTGAATACCGCCCCTGGTTGGGTGCTAATTCCGGCCGATGTCGCGGTAATCAGCTCTAGGGAAAGGGAACAAGGCTGTGGATACGAAAGGAGTTATTCCTTCGGCTTGTTGATTTTCTCTCGAAATGTGTGCAATACGCCATCAATGTCTTTTCGTAAGTCTTCGGCATTTCGGAGGAAAATGGAAACGGGATTTAAAACGCAGTGATTCTTAACATGGCATTAAAAA